GCTACATGGCTTGGGAGTACAATATTGGATTAAATTTAGGTTCTGTGGTTCAAAGGGCAAACACTGACTGTCTTCAGCAGAGCCTGGATGAACTCAGTCTTTCAATGTAAAAAAAAAATCAGGTATATTTTAGGTAATAGGTTATTCAATTTTTGCACCACAGATAGATGTCACATTTTGATTTCTTTTTCCCTGTTGTATTTAAACATGCTGTCTTTGCTTTGAACCACACATGAAAACCTCCTATCTTTAAACCTAAATAAATTTTAAAATTTCAATCTGTTTCCAGCCCAGTTCAACTACAATTGTAGTTGGGGTGAGGTGTGGAAACAGGGAATTTTAAAACAGGAAATGAGATGATATTGACTCAAACATTTTAACAGGTACCAGTGGCTTATAAAAAAGAAAATCTATGCTGCACTGATAATCACAAACAAAATGAAATAAGCAGGTTGAGGTTTTAATGTTTTAATGCACAAATGTATGCTTGATATATTGTAGTGAGAAGCATAAACTGTGTTATCCAGGTTAATTTTCCTCTCATTTATCGTGTGCTCCTGGGTAAAACTTCACAGGTATCCAGGCTCCCCTAAATCCTGGTTATCATAAACAAAGGAAAGTTTGGGCTTTAAATAGGTTATATTTTCAGGTTAGCAACAACTCTGTTTTGCTTTCCCTCTTCTCATAAATCAATTATTGAGGTCTATTTAATTAAGAACAGATTAGAAACATTTTCATTGTTGTTTTTTAAATTTCCTTTGTACTGAAGTGCCATGGAGTTAAAACGCCAAGCACAAAAGTGCACAGCCAACCATGACTAACTGCATAAAGCAAATAACAAGCTGTATGATCAAAAACAAAAGTCAGTGCCATTCATGTGGAATAATAGAAATCATACCACCAAAACACTTCATACACATCTCTTCTACCGACGTACACACTTGCTCAGCTCGTATCACGCCTCAGGAATGCAGTTACAAACAGAAAAGGCACTGCAGGAGAGGTAAACACCCAGAGAGGAAGTAGCATTTCCCTGTGCCTCATCCTGACAATACCTTACGCCTTCAGCTTGGGGTTCATCAGCCATGAGGAGGGAAAAGCAGAGCAAGCTGTTACTCAGGGCATGCTTCTCTCCTTCCAGCTCTTCTGGAGATGTCCTCTGGGAGCAATGCCAAATATACATGTTGAGCACTATTGCCCAGTGCAGATAACTTGCCATGTTTGAGCTGCAAGGCTGGTGAAACACAGTCACTATCCATTCTCACTGGTCACAGAACAATATTCCCCCAAGCACATGAAATCGTTGTGCCATGTTGTATTCGAGGCTCTGACACAGTCCCTGTCTTCATCATCATTAAAAATCACCTTCCATCCCCTGCTTGGTTTTCTCAGGGGTTGCAAAGGCCATTCTTATTTGAGCAAAGAAAATCTTACCTGCTTATGGAGCACAACTAAGAGTGGGGAAATGCCGGATGTGATCGGGAGAGGATAAAGAGATTTTACCAGGCATATTTTTTCACATAGTGTTTTGAAACAAGCAAACAAAAGCCCAACTCTTTGCCTATTAACTGGAAAACAAATCCAGCTTAAAATTTTTGCTCAACTTTCACTGCAGGAAAGGGGAAACTTTCTGCTGTTTATGGGGAATGGGAGGAGGACAGAGAGGAGAGCAACGACAAGCAGCCACTCACCAGTAAAATGCATGTAGTAAGGCACTGTCAGAGAGATCAAGGGCTTTGCATACACTTTAGGAAGGATTAGATTTCATTGTCACTTCAGGCCAAGGAGGAGGAGATTCCATATTCCTTCAGTCATTCAGCCCAACTATTCCCCTACTGATTTTTAAAATCTGTTGTGGCTCAACCCTTTCCTCATGCTTCAGAGGGGAGAGATAGCAGAGGAAAAAAGAGCTCCTGAGGTTCTTCTCTATAGTTATTCAAAGACCCTTTTAAAATGCTGCTGCTAAGTGCTAGATGTTTTAAATCCTCTATGACTTTTATCAGAGGAAATTACATGCCAGCTTCTCTCTTGAATTCAGTGAGGACTCAAGTTGAGGGGTAAATTCATCTCCACTGTAAACGGAAGGTTAGTGCTGGGATGGCTGGGGACAGAAATCTGCACCCTATTTGGTCTTTGTCAGAAGCAGTACGTGTCCCTTTAGAAATAAGTGCTACATGTGTCAATGTGAGAATAGAAACTTCCAGAATGTGTTGAGTTGTTGACAGGCCAGTGTGCCACTGAAGATGATAACTCATATATAAAATTAACCCTGTGAATTCCCATCCTTTGGGTCATATCAGCCCATTCATTCTGTGACAAGCCTTTTCCTGTGCAAGTTCTTAGTTCGCTGACCCCTGGAAGGTGTTGAGAAGATTTTCTGAGAGGATACCTGAGGGTTCTATTTTGTCTTTAGTATAATTCCTCCCAATCTATGAGTATTATAGGCCCAGAACTGATGACAATTTGTGTTCTGAATCCTTAAACTGTTGAGAACAGTTCCCCCAGTAGTTCACTAGATAGGCAACTGTCTGTCCTGAGCCTTGCCGCTTATTTGTGCCTTATTCCTAAGAACCAGTTTGTACCTTAGATCCACTTCTGCAAAATATGGCATTTGCTCATCTTTGAAAGTGCTCTGAGACACAGGGTGAGATGTGTGGGATGGGTAAGCAACAGGGAACCAAACTATACTCGGTGCTTTGCAAACAGAAGTTGGACAAAGCCTCTGCCTCAAAGAAGGTATAATCTTTAAAAATTAAAACAAATTAAAAATATTAACTGCTGTCAGAAAAATAAACAACTCTTTTAGAACTAATAATAGCATTCAAACATACTGATAGTATTCCAGTGTCCATCATTAGCTACTTATGAAACAAAACTACATATAGTTTGTTCCATGTGTACTTATTTTAGGAAGCAAAATATAAAAAAAGAAAAAATCAGGTTACTGGAGGAAATCAAAGTAGATTTTGGGTTATTGAGCTTAATTCCTCCTTAGCAGCTTTCAGATACTGACAGCTCAGGAACTAAGAGGAACAGCTGTGAACCAGCAAGACTGAAGATTGGAGACAGGTCCACTGACTGCTGCAACATCTCTGGTGCAAGAATTGTCCTTGATCTCTTGGGAGGTTGCTAGTGATAGTGCCAAACAACATATAGAGTGCATTTCTGTATATGTGTGCATGAACACTGCAGAATTTTCTTTGTGAAAAGAAGTGTTGCAGGTGGACAGGCTCAAATCTCTTAATTGAGACAGGAATTTTGGAGTGCCTTGGGGATAACAAAAGAACATCCTGGTGCTCAGGTGCAGTATCTTGATGAGCTCCATTCTGAGGTCTTTGTGATGCCATCAGTACCTGTAGGGAGCAGGAACTCTTTCTTCAGATTATGCCAGGAAAAGCTCTGTCAGCCTTCATTAGGGCCTATTTGGTAAAGCTTTTAACCTGTGGCTTGGGATGTGCTTTAAAACTGCTCTCTGTGTGTGCTTTACATACGGGTGCACAGATTCTCTAACTTGTGATTACAGGAATCATTAGACAACGCTGCATTTGGAAATAGTTAGAAATCCTGCTCCTATAAGACCCTCCTCCCCCAGTCTACTCCATACCTCTATAGTTTTGAGAAAAACTGAGCCTCCCACCTCAGTTATTAGGCTTGTTTTGTGGCACAGTCAGAATCAAAATCAAACATAGTTCTGATCAGCAAGATAATCTGAGATAACAGTTTAATGAGATACTCTTTTTTTACTGTTGCCTTGATTGGAGGGGCTGAATGGCTCTCTTGGGCCCAGACAGCTGCTTGCATGCCTTTGGCTGTAATTTGCTCAGTTAGAATGAGGCAAGGCTCACTTTGCTGCAGTCCACATGCACTGGTGCAAGCCTGATGCTCAATGCAGAGCCCAACTGCAACAGAGCAACTAATCTGAAGTTTACTGGGCACATTTTTTTGTCTGTGACTAGAGAATGGCACCCAGTATCAAGCTGTAGCTTGAGCTTCTGAGAATACCAGTATAGGTGATGGGACATGGAACACAGAGGTTCTGTTAATGCCAGGGAGACTACACTGCCAGTCTCCTTGTCACATTCTCCCCAGTAGTTGCAGCTTCTGGCCCTTAGGACAGAGTTGTCAAGGAACGGGTTTGCCCCTTCCTTTTGTTCTCATTCTCCATGGGAGAGGACAGTAATGCCGTTTGTATTCTGCATACTGGCAGGTACTGCTAAAGCACAAACTGAGCCTGTTTCGAGTTCTCAAAGCTGTCTGAAGAGATGAAGGAGCAAAATTCCTGCTCCAGTTGCCAATTAGGCAGGTAACATATCCCTGAGAAAGATGGTGTGCAAGAGCTAATTATTTTTGTATGTTGCTGCCTGAATAACTTGAGTCTGCCAGGTGCAAAATGCCTCTGGAAATCTCCCAGTTCTGTGGGAACTGAAAGGTTCAGCTTGTTCCTGACTCTTTTATGGAATCAGATCCTAGAAAACTTCAAACTTTTAACACAAAGACTCCTTATCAGCTGGGGGTGAGAGTGAATCATACCCATGAGAAACATGAAGTAGGAAAAAAAGGACTCCAACTGCTAACTGTAAGAGCTACCCTGAAAGCCTGTCCCAGAGGTGAATCAATGCCACTGTACCTTGCACCATTTCCTTATGTTGCTGTTTGTCTGCTTTCCTGCGTGAGTCACTTGGGTTGTGATCCCTGGTTTACATGCTTCCACAATCTTGTGCAATGTTGTTGTGGCTGTTATGCTATTGGGAGAAGCTTTCTTGTTTGTTGCATTGTTTACCTAAAACAAAATATCTGCATTTTGGATAAATAGATGACTTAAATACCAGGATGTATGGTTTAACATGGTAAGCCTGTAGAAGGTGGTGGCATGGGGAAAGGTAGGTTGAACCCTGGCTTTGGTGTGGTAGCCAGTCATTTGATAGTTTGTAATTGGGTTTTCTTTTCAATTCTTAGTTGTCTACTTGTGAATGATAAAGAACGAGAAGACACTGTCATTGTACACATGAACTGATGTGGTTTTACTGCATTTGGCCACACACTTAAAAGAAAAACACTGGTACAGAGCAGCCACAGGCCTTATCTCTGCTGCCACTCTTTTCACAAGAGAATGATCTTTACATCAACAGTTTTACATCCTTGGCTTGATAACATTGCAGTCCTCCCTTTTGCTCTTGGTCCGAATGCAGAGATTAAAAACACTCAGTTGATGCAAACGGTGGATCGATACAACACACAGAATGGGGTGTAGATGTGCTTCACACAACAGAGAGCAGAATTGAAGGGGAAAATGTTGCTTGGAGGCAAGACGCCTCTTTAATTGATTATGGCAAGGAAAATCAAATACCATATCTGCTTTTTTCCTGGAATATATCAAGACTGATCATAACTAACATCTGTTCATGTTAAGCAAATACTTGTCATGATTTAAACTTCTGTTTGCATACAACTCTGAGTAGTGCATCTTAAAGTCATACATATTCATATAGAATGAAGAATGCATAATGTCTGCATAAAAAGATAAGCTGTATGACTATATATGAAGACAACAACTACAATTCTCACAGCACTGTCATTGGTTAATTTTAAAATATTCAAGCATTATTTAAAAAACAGTAAGCTGAACTTAAAACTACACTATGAAAAAATTGTATAACTGAACCAATGCTGACTTGTTTTCCTCAATATTAGTCAATTTTCAAGTTTCCCTTTTTTTTTTCTAACTCTTTTTGTTAATTAGTTGTTATTTTAACCTCCAGTAACATGATCAGACTTCTTCTGCCTCTGGGCAATTGAGTTATGCTCTGATCTCAAGTTCTAAGGGAAATGTTCCATTTTATTTTTTTCCATAGTTGAATAAACAGTACCATGTATACTATCTCTTGTGTTAGAATAGTGTTGTCTTCACATAAGACTCAAATAATGGTATTAGTCATTCATTTCCTTGTACACATACACCCTATTGCGTGTTGACAGGTTTATAAGGATGCAGTGGCAGCCGTGGGTGCTGGGAAGCTCCTAGACGACAGCCTTTGAATCCTTGCAGTCCTGAGCAATGGTGCCTGAGTTAGTCTGTTTATTGTCTGCTTTCTCTCCCAGATGCTTGACTTGTCTGAAAGATTAATACATTAACAAGAGTGGTAAGGTCCAGGGTTGCACATCTTTAAGACATGTTTATTACCAGATGGCACATGAGATTCAAAGGTCACTGTGGAAGGTAACATTTTAAAGTGAAACAACAATATTTATGTTCAAATACTATGCTGATGAGATCATATGGAAAAATGTTTCTGATTAAATTAGCTTATATATAGCCACAGTATATCTATTGAAAATTCCAAATGCCACTTTTAGTCTTGCTTCTTTTATTCTACTACTTCCTAATTTATTTAGTAACACAAGACTACCTTCTTACATAAACAGACTAGCAGCTGGAAAAAAAATATCTTTACTGGATGGACAATCCTGCTTTCTTAAATAATTGAAAATCCAGTGTGAAACCTGGTTCTATTGTCTACTACTTAAAGCTAATATTCCATATCAGAGTTTTTAAGACTCAAAAGAAATTTAAACTTTTTAATTCTCTGAGGTAAAATTCATCTTGCAGTCATAAGGCAGATAGCTATCCTTATTTACAGGCAAAATCATGTGTTACAACACATATAACAAAAATCATGTTATGCTACTTATACAGATTCCATACAATGAAAAGAAAATCCTTTTCTTTAGCATTTCCATAGGAGGACTGACTGTCTCATAGCTCATTACTAAACATTATCAGTAATGCTAAACCTGAAATCGTGCTTATCCTCTCAAATTGTCACAAACTGTATGTAAATTCCAGAGGAAATAGTTTTGAACAGGTTTAAAGGGCAACTAAGCTCTTAATTAACATTTCTTATCTACCATGCCACACAGGCATTAAAATGCAGAGGATTTAAATGTACTTACTTTTCATGTGATCCATTCTCAACTTTCATAGTCCCTTCCACTGGGTCCAGTCCTTGTTCTGAAAACTGTTTCAAGGCACTTAACGCTGCCTAAAGAAAAAATGAGTTGTCAAAAAACCCACTGACACAACTGTATTAACCCCAAATGAAGGAAGGTGTGTGCTTTGATAGTCTAGATTTAATTAATTTCCTGCATATTGAAGCTATTTAGGCTACAGAGCTAACAGAGTGGGTACATGACAGCTCCACGATAAAGAGTTGTGCTTGTGCACAGGTTGAGGGTATCTTCTTCTTCCTGAGCATATGAGTGACTCCCATTTGTGTCAATGTCAATGTAAGCTTCATCACTTACATGAGGAACATGATACACTTTTAGGATTCTTGCCTTTCTGGCTGTAATGTCTTTCCAGCTTCCCTGTGTGCTTTCCTGGAGCCCACACTTTCCAGTGCTCCTATGGACAAACTCTTCAGAAGGTGAGCAATGGGAAGAGGGTCATCAGGACGCTACCAAGACTGCAAGGCTGAATCTCAAGCAACATTACAGCCTAATGTCTTATACATATTTAGTGAAGAGTGCTAAACAGGGTGAGCCAATATGGGGTGATTATGAAGCATCATCAATAGAAGAACGATCGACTTTTAGCTGACATTTTTCTGTGCAAGTGTATTCTTCATTGACCAGCTTCTCTCTCACCTCCATGAGCCCTGCTTCTTATCTCCTCTCTGTCTGCTTCAGTAAAAGACAAATGATTTTTTGCAATTAATTTAGCAAAGTTTGATTATGAAACTCTCAGACACCATGTGACTGACTTTGAAAACACACCCAGCACAACAAAACAGTTGAGGCCAGTTCTGTTGTGAAGGTGAAATATAAAGCAGAACTGCAAAACGGATTTTGCTCTTTAATCACTTCCACCTAAGATGCATTCAGAACGCATCACAGGGGAAAGGAAAGGTAGCTTTTCAGACACTGTCCTAAGGTAACACCTCAAGGAGTGGAGCTGACTGCAGACCCTATGGCACTGTTCTTCACAGTGAGGAAAAAAACTGCTGTTTAGAAAACTGGAAGTTGCTGTCTTCTTAATTGTTGGGACAGAAGGGATCCATGCCTCTATCTTCATTTCCCTCAGCGAGTAGGGACTCTGTCCAGAACAGGAGCTGCCATTGTAATGAAGTACTAGATTTGCTTTTGTACTAATTCTTTGCCTGGATTCTCTCAACACCTCCTGCCCTTGAAAGGAATGTTTATAGAACTTAAATATTATTAGACAATGTGTATTTTGGTGAGATGAATAACAGCACAAAAATTGCCACGCTGCCCTAAAGTAAAATACCATATATCCCAGATTTGTCTATAGTAAAGACTAGCTGCTAAAGCTTCAAAAGGCTCTACAAGGTACTCCTACCCATAATGCATGAAGGCAGAATCTTTCTAGTCTGTGAGGTTTTATGGGTTTTGCCCTAGTAAAAAAAAACAACAAACCAAAAAAGCTAAACATTTTATGAAGTCTCTTGGTAAACCTCAGAATATCACTTTTACTTACATCCATTCCACCTTTCCCATGCATCCTGGGCCCCCTGTATGAGACAGCTAACCTGCTCTCTACTTGCTCCTTCTTTCCATCCATTGCAATAATTTTCCCCTTCATCTTAAAACCTCTGCCGCCCTCATTTTTCTTTTAAACTTTTTCCATGCTGTGGCTAAAGGCTGAGCATCAGTTTCACCTCAATAACAACTTCTCCCATTACTGGATCTTTCACTTTTATCACCCATTGAGTTCCCCAGAGAATGAATTCTCACTTTCCTCATTTCTTCTGGTTTTCTTGATGTTTTGATATATATGCATTTTTCATAAGACAGCTCTTTGTGTCCACCTCATGGTGTCCCTTGTATTTTCAAATGTGCATTCTCAGCTCCTATAAGCTCTAGCCACCTTGGCTGCACAGCAAAATCACTGTTCAATCCAAATAATTTCTCCCAGTGGCAATGAGGGTTTTCATCTACTCTCCTCTCAACTTCTCTGTTCCAGTAACACAACACATTTCACCCCAATTTCTCTCTTCTCCTCCTCTCCCTGGGGTCCTTTTCATCACAATGCAAGCACTACCTATCATGTGAGGAAGGGGAGTGATTTGGGCTCTTGTGCTTCCTTGTACTTTAGTTGGCCATGAGTTATCAGCTATGAGAATCAAACAACCCAATGGGTAGGGATTGGCACCCAAGCATGTCATGTCTTCTCATAGCCATTTTTTCCTGATGCACATTAGTAAAACTACCAGAGTCTCCTTCCTTCTTTTGTATGGTAAATCAAAACCCATTACTGGGTAGCACTGCAAGGAGGAAAGGAAGCTGAGACATCTCCTCCTCCCACGCAGTTAAACTGCTATCTCATATGCTTTTCAACCCACCTTGTTTACTTTTTCATATCCATTCTTAGCTTCCTGGTCTGATGTGAATTGTAAACTTGTTGTGGAAGAACTTTGTGTTCAGGTTATTTGTTTGTACTGTGAGTTGGACGAAAAGGCCCTGATCATAGTTGGTAAGAAGTAGAGCCAAGAAAAGTTTCATTCAAGATTAAATCACAGGTTGATCATATGATATGCAGAACAGTCTGGTCTTGATCAGGGTCACTGAAATCCCCAAATCATCAAGACATTAATTAGACCAACCTAAAATTCCTAATTCTAGAATTGCTCTGAGTACCTCTGTTACTTACTACTGTTTTACTCGCAGAACTGGCTATGGCAAGGCATACCACATAAATCATAGAGCAGCTTTCAGGGTTGCTTTCCAGGGAAACTACTTTGGAACTTCCTGGATTAACATGAGCCACTATCTCAATAGAAACAGAGCAAGAAGGCCCCTTTCCTCTTCTAACAGCAAGGGAAGCAGTACTACAACGTATAATATTAATCTCTTTGCCTGTAAGCATGAATCATTACTATATGGGTGTCAATAAAGTAAATTAGAGGAAACATATAAAATGAAGGTATGATTCAAGGTGTTTAATGATAAGCATGTTCTCTACCAACACAACTTCCAAATCCTAATGCTTATAACATGGTGCAGTCTCATTTCTGTGTCTCACCCTTCTGCAAGCAATGCCTTTCTCAAACTGAAATGTGACATAAAAGATAAGATCTCAGATCTGTTGTATTTGTGAAACCAAGTATCAGAGGGGGAAAGCAGCAGGAAAGCAGTCCTGTATCAGCACCCTTGATCTTCCAGCTACAGGGTTCAGGGTGTTTGTGTGAGTGCTGTTGAAGAGCTAGCCCTTCACACCATCCCTCATTGCTAGGCTTCTCACCTTTGCTGCTCTGGAAGCAAAATCTCTTCAAAAGCTCATGCTTCTCACTACTGAGTCCTGACTTCCTGGATCTTCCACCTCAGTCACATGTCTTCCCCAAACCACTCCAGTGCCCCTGGTCTTCCCCTCCTGACTATCAACCCCAGAGCTATGACTTCTTTTACAGCTGAGGCTATCACCTCTACTTCTTCAGAAATCTCCTCCTACCCAAGCCTTTGGGGTTTTTTTCCTGCTCCCAAAGGCTCTCCCAACCAGGTCACCCAGCTGCTCCCAGAGGTAAACTTTCCTTCCCCAACCTTCTACACCTCACAGTCCCTCTTTATCTCCAGTTTCCTAACATGCTTCAGGTTTATATGAGATCTGATTTCTTTTTCATGGAACTATGTCTTAGTCTCCATGATATACCTGCAGGGGAAGCCTAACTACTTATATCCCACTATTTGCAACAAGATTTTAATTTTGTGAATGATTTTTCCTTTTTAAAATGTTGATTCATGGGATATGACTGAAGGGCAGTAGGGGAATGGTAGACAGAGCCTTGCAGTGTACTGAAAACTCCCCCTTTTCTTTCTCCCATAGCCTGCTTACATTTGAAAGGAGCAGCAAAACTGAAAGAAGTGAGGGAGTAAACAATACTTTGGACCTGAATAATTGTCCTTAATGTTTCTCCTCTCCCTGTTGTGCCCCTAGACAGACACGAAGATGCTGGATTCAGGAAGGAAGCTGGTAGCTGAGAGGCTGTGACCTGATAGTCAGCAGAGTGACACGGAGCTCAAGTAATCTGCAGTGAAGAAGAGTTACAAGTAGACACTGGACTAATTTAATCCATGATTCAATTCTATTAGTCCCAATAGATTTACACCACTTGGCTTAAATATAATTTATGAATGGCAGATAACTTACGTTAAATGAAAAGGAAAGAAAAGAATGGAACATTTGACAGTGAATCTGGTGAACAATTTCCTCTTTTAAAAGCTCAACACTTCCTTCCATTGATATTATTCTTACAATAGAGCATCTGCACAGATACAGAGAAATTTTTCTCTCCCCCAGAAGATTTTACAACTGTTTTGTGAGTGAAACCCCATAGGTTACAGAACAGATGTCCTTACACATTTCTTGTATCACTTGTTTTCTGTGTAGCTACAACAGTGCCAAAAATACGATGCCAACAGGATGCACCGCACTGCTAGCTGTTTGTCTTGGCTGCCATTTCCATTATTAGTATGTGTGTGTATCAGGATGGGGATGGATGTTTCCAGTCATTTTTTAGCTTTCCTCAAGTCAGCTGGCAATTAGTAAATAGGACTGAAACTTGTAAATATTCTTCCTGTTTCTCACTCTAGGGATTAAGTGTCTTATAATGACAATCTAGTAACATTAGATCATTCTTTTAGCAAGAACAGCAGACAGGCACTACACTAGCCCATGTGCATTTAAGATCACATCCTCACGATAAAATGTTCACATGTTTGTTTTAGCACAGTATGCGGTTTGTGTTTCTCCTCTTAAATCTATATTACATTTCAGCTTATTCCATGAAGCTGAAAACTGTAAAAGTTTGTTGTTCTCTGTGGCCCTTCCAGTTGACTTTACCAAGGAGGTCTGAGACAATCCTAATAAACACACTGCTTGATACTGTCAATTTACTGTTGATATGTCTCCTAACATCAGTTTTCTAAGTACATTAAAATAACATATTCAGCTTGGCCTTAATCAGTGTTTTCTGAAGACATAAAATTATGGGCAGAAACTGCAAAACTGAATTGTCAGGATCCAGAG